ATTTGAATTTCGATATCAGTAGTAAACGACGACTGACTTCCGGTTCTCTGTAGTCATTTGAATTTGCTGTAACGCTCAAGTTGACACCAAAGGCCAAAAGAAGGATGAATCAACCGATCCGCTCATTGATGGTTCTAACCATATTCACATTAGTCTGAAGTGTCTGATAAGTTCATCAACTCAAACAATCGTAAGTTCGGGATTACGCAATCCAAATCATGTTTTTCTCAGATGCATTATTCAATGATGAAACTTAGTTGAAATTACCCAGGGTCGTGAATAGTGATCTAGTACCCTGACTTACACATAGCGTAGGTAAACATACACACACGCACGTAGACATGTACCCGCTAAAATACAAAAGTATTTAGATTAACATGAAAAGGATCGAACAAAGAATTCTATATAAAAATTATGAAAACCAGGATAACGTGGCCTTTTTCTTTGTTTTTGTTTTAGTTTGATCTTGTTTTCCCAACTTGGTCGGAGTGACAGGTAGTCCCTGTGGAAAGTATCTGATCCTGCGTCCTCTACCAGTGTATTCATGAGGATTTCCAGCATCGGACCGGTTACTTGGTACATTCACAGACGTTTCATCGGCATCATCGGTGAGAGGCGCCATCCTTAGCACAGAGTTTCAGCTTTCAATTTGGCAGTCTTAAGCGAACTAGGGTGAATACAGGTTTCAGCATAATCGCGAAGTACGAAAAGTTACCATGAATTAGAACCCAAAAATGCAGTAACATAGTCTTAGCGAAATTTAACTTTAAAAAAAACAGGGAGCAAACTTGCAGCAGACCCTTCAAATAGGGTGGGAAAAATAAGTAGGCATAATAAAAACCAACTAGTCACAAAATCTACCTACCTGAATCGATACAGGAAGCTCAGATAAGACCTCCTTGACACGTGATTGAGGCCGGTATGTGAGTAAATCCAGCTTCAAACGAGATCTTGTGCCAAGTTTTAAATTTCCGGGACTCGCCGGCAAAGATTGCTCTGACGAGACAGTTGCATATGGATGAAAAGATAGGCCATTCGTGCAGGCATTCGCCTCGGGCCTAAGGAGATCTTGACAGCCAGAGACACTACATAGATCAGAAACCTGGCGATAGGTCGATGGGGTAGAGTAGACAGCAGATAAATTATGAGAAGAAGATTCGCGTGAAAATAATGTGAAAGCATTATAAATTGAAGAAACCTCTGTGCCTTTGGTGCTGCATGTATCGTTGCAAATAGTGTCGGAGCGTAATATAGCATGGAAGTGAAGGTCGGGATCACCACTGAAAGTATCACCGAAATCATTCTCTATTATGTCTGGAGAAACAGTTCTGGGTAGCCAAGGCACATCATTAGTTGATGAGTTTGCATTTTCGAGCACCAAGTCTATGGGTCCACTTCGAGGCAATATAAGCCCTCGAGACACAATGCCAGCTTCAAGGGCACAACTACTATAACCCGAATCTTGCTGACATGTGAAATCAGACGTACGACTCCGATTGATCCCAATCAGGTTGATCGATGAGTTTGGCGTTGGGGCTGAGCTGATTAGCCTGCAAGAATCCTGGCACTGTGAAGAGGGTTGTCTGAGCCAAGGAGAGGCGTAAGAGATGCAGAAAATAAATTATTGTAATGGTCAGAGAGAATAACAATTGATTCAGAAGCCTAAGCATTCTGTTTGCGAATGAAGATTAATATATAGCGTTATTTTTTTCTGGGTTTTGAAGCTATCCGTAGATCTTGAATAAGAATTATAGATAATCAATGGCACATACGGTAATGATGATGATGATAATGAATATCTGAATTTTCCAACGGTGTTATGAGTAAGCCTCACTATACTATTGAATTCCTCTTGGCCTTGCCTTTCATTAGGTTTCCCCATCCAGGATTTGAAACCGAGTAGTTGGTATCGTTGCTAAACGTCACCACCCCATTGCACAGGAATGTATGCCAGTGACATGACCCGTTTTCGAATCACATTAGAGGTGCTGATGAGACCGGATCAAAGTAGAAACTGCAGTCCATAGTTGATTGGAAAGCCATTCGAGAGGCCAAGCTAAGCGAAATTCAATGGCATCATGAGGTCTATTTATCTGATTGTGCGGAAACTAAAATATCAATCGTTTGTTACCTAACTAAAGTTCATGGAAATGTGTCCTTTTCAGAGCAGTCCGAGTCTCGTGGGCAAGATTGGGTTGGCGTATGTTCTTGAGATAATCTAGTATGAGCTCGTTTGCAGAGAGGACGCATCAATTTTTCCCTTAGTTAATTCGCAAAAAAAACATTTTTGTGATTATGCTAAATGTGCAAGTAGCGGTAACCAATTTGATCGAATATGTTGTCTTGCTTTCAAATATATAAAAGAAATTCAGTGATACAGGTGTCTTGATAAACTGAATAAAAAGACTATCAGATAGCACGTTGTGAACTTTTGAAGATTGGTTTTATTAATTAGGTGTTCATAGATCTGGATATCAGGACACTGCATTAAAAGTTCACTACGAATGGTCAAACACCTTAATAAAATACGAGGGTTTCATAGTGATACAAAACAACAAAGAAAAAATAAGTTGAAAGCAGAAATTCATCATAAAAACATCGATAATAAGGATTGATTCTGGTGCATATGGAACCATTCATATATACAATAAGAAAATAATAAAGATAAAGTGGGCTTAGACATAAAAGAAAAGGTGTGGATTAAATCACTGTATCAGTAGAAGAACAGGCAGACGATTCGGTTGCTAAAAGAGGGCAAATTTGTGAAAAATTCATCACATATCAGAGCTTTGCCAACAAATTTACGATGATCAAAAAGAGAATTAAATAGCTCAAGAATGACAAAAAGTGGTATAAATCGGCAAAAATTTAGCATCAGCCAAAATGTAAAAATTAAGCGAGATTTATGCTGGCCACAACTAGTCCTGAACTTCGGCTATATGACAAAATACAAGGGGGAAATGACTCGAGGCCTTCGTATAAACTTTGAATGGCTGGGTACACTACTTAAATCATGGCACAATCTCTGGCTCAATAAACAATTATTCAGAAAATGAGTTGGCCTTACCTCAGATCATAAGTTATGCCAATACAATTGCCAAAATAAGTGGTCCGACCTCCTTTTCGCAATATGGTTATGTTGTAAGTACGATCTAGTTAGCCCCGCTGTCCTAACTCCTCCGTTCTAGTAGTTACCATGGTTCCCAGAGTTTGGCCGTATACTTGGTACATTCCCAGACATTTAGCTGGCAGCGTAGTCGAGTCTAGCCAATCTCAGCCCAAAGCTACAAGGCACCAGAGACAAGGGAAGTCAATCTCTTGACCTACTTTCTATCGAATGGATGTGCTATCACTGCTCTTTCTGTCCAGGTCCATCTGCCTACTCCCTACCCTCTTACTCATTCCCACTCTATCACGTCTAACTTGTTTATATTCAACTCCTCTACAAATGTGCCTTTTTAGCGAAATTAGTGCGGCGCCATTACACCCGCTGTTTACCTTGCTCCCCTCCCTCTCGATTTACTGATCCGACTTGGGCCTTCTGTCCGGATCTCCCTCGCGTGCCTGTAGATCCGTTTATTATTTATCTAATTGATTGATTTCACTCGGTTCTAGTCAAAGTATACTTCAGGTGCTATTTCTCAAGCCTTAAGTAGCGCATACACTAGCCTCAACGAGCAGAGGCTGGGCTCTGATTTCAATGCTCGCAGATATTAGGCATTGTCTCCAGGGCCCAACTCCTTGATATTCAATTCGTTAATATCTATGCCTAATCGCCTGCTGCACTTCAAGTGGAATTCTAATCACTTTGTCCATAATGCCGAATTTCCGTGACGGTTGTCATTGTCCGTCTCCTTAGTCACCTTCAAAGTTGCAATTGTCACTTCGAACAGATTACCCTCACTGAAAACGTCTTCTGTTGGTTTCCTTGATTCGCATGCTGATTATTTTCTTGTTTCGCCAATATACTTCTGCAGTCCGACGCTTGGAATTATCATACCTACTATAGCAGAGTACTTCGAACAAGATTTGTCCAACAAGTTTGCCTTCATACCACGGCCAAGTTGCGAAAATAAGGTTGAACCACTTTTATATAACGAAAAGATACTGCGACCAAAACAGAGACCACAACTTCTTGATCTCCATTTCTACGATTATACTATCATTATTTCCATCTTAAGAGATCAAAAGATTTAGACGAATCTCAGCTGAGTTTTCGTCTGCGCCACACTTGCCGGCATCGTCAGAGGCAAAAGGCATTAGTTACGAAAAACAGAAACAAAACACAAAACTAAAAAAGTTGGCCAGCTACAATTATGAACACTTTTTAAGCCTAATTTTTCAGGATTACCCTACATGTTTTTCGTATGTAAGTAGAGTTTCGTTATTACCAGTAAACCAGTAATATAAGATATATACCCTACATGCTTGTAGATAACTGAAGTTGTTGCTTCCTCATCCAAATTAACTAGAGAGTGACCGTTCAACATTGAAGCAAGTTTAAGTGTGAGGTTGTACATACATTAGGTGCAGGACATAATCAATAGTCACTGAAAGCTACTCAAGCCTACTGTATTTGCCTGCCCATAGATTATTTCTTCTCACTCTTCCCCTCACTAAGCCTAAACAATAACAATTAATAGTTCATACTCAATTCCCTAAACTAGTTCCTTCCATTAAAAATGTTGGCTGCTGAGTCTATTAATATATACTCCCTAATAGTACGCCTTAATATAAAGTCTCTATATCACGCAAAAAGTTGTTTGAAACCATTATATTTGGTGTCCCAGTGTTGGCAAGATGCCCGGCCTTTCTTGAAATTCACATCATTCAGGTCACTCACGGCATGGCGTAGTGGTTAACATGTCTGGATTATATGTTGCACTATCACGGTTCGGGTCATGCTGGGGGTACTGATGAGACCTAACCGTAATCAAAACTGCAGTCCACTCTTGATGAGAATAAATTTGGGAAGCGAAGCTATGCGAAATGCCAAGGAGATGTAAGGCATACTAATATCATTTTATGAAACTTAAATTACCGGCATTTCCACCTTATGGAATTTAGGCTGACCAAAGATCTTATGTAAGATATACTGAAAGTATCATAACGCACTCATTATAAATATAAGTCATGAGGCGCTTGGGCACTCAAGCGACACAGGATGACCATCTTACCAATACGAAGCTATCTTTAGTTGCAACCTGCAATAACCCCGAAAAAGCAACCTTACTTTCACACGCGCCCGAGCCGACATGAAATTAAGGATATTATAGATGAAAATAAAATGCGTGAATTAAATATATCATTCTCATACATGTCAAAGCAGAATCAAAAGAGACTACTGCCACTATATACGAGATGTATTTACCTCATTTCATTTAAGGTAACGAAGGACTAGTAGTTTAATTTTCCCACAATAAAAGTAGGACTGACGTTTCCACTCGATTTCATACCATGCCATACTGCCAGGAGTGCAATTTGGTTACAGATCAGATTCGAATTTCAAAGAATATAAATCCTTTACCAAATCAATTTTGTAGTGGAATTGTCTATGATGCTATTGCACTCAAATGCATTACCTTTTATAGTTTAGAAGTAGGTTGTCACAGCACCATGAATAGAAACCCCTAAGCTTGGGAACTATATACGGATCCGACCTAAGATAATGGCAATTTTAAATTTGTGAGCAGATGCTACGAATCATTTAAAGGAAAAAAAAAATTCGAATTACGTTTTGATTAAAATGGCAATGGTGACTACAATAACTTTCGTGTAAGAATGAAAAGCACCTTGAATAACTCAAACGAATGCATGCTTATCAGGGACCTTTCTCCAAATCTTCGAGAAGAATCTTAGTCTGAATTACTCCATGCAGAACATCCTGTTTCAATCTTAATTCAACAGGCCCTCAGACTAGTAAATTTATGGGCGTGCATACTCATTAAATAAACAATTTCGGCAAAAAAGCATGAAGACTACTTTATACTCAATAATCTCGTTAAGAAGCCAACATAAAATCTACCAGAATTAAAAACATAATCATAATTCCTCAACAGCCGAATGGGAGCCCTGCAATTTGGTTCGAAATTAAGGCCAGACACGGGTTGGGACAGGTTATACAGGATAAGAAGGTATGTAAATAAATGCACCAAAATGAATGAGTTGTGGTATTGATAAATATAAGGATATTGAGAGGAAAGGTAAGAACCACTTGGCAAAAGATAGATGGAGAGATGATTGGGTCAGGAGATCGATAGGGAGATGAGAACTGAACAAGCCGCGGCGCCTTGACTACCATTTTTTGGACTAGCTCTATCGATTTGGCCTGATGGGTCAAAAACATGTCGAGGATGCGTACTCGTATACCTATTTGCATATTTCTTCAGGTTGCTGACGCATATTCACGTGTGCTTTGGCTGAGGGCCAGTGATACGGAAAAGGACCAGACAGCGTTGGCTAAGCCGGATTTAACAGACGGAGAAGAAAAACGATGAAAAGATGTGAAACCATGCCGATATGCGAAGTTATGTAGATGAGTGCGACTCGTGGTCGAATCAATGACCCAAAATTTGGTAGAATTTATGGAGCTTGAATTAGCATTTAATATCAATAAGGCGAAAATATGGATACGTACGTTGAAGGCATTTTGGCTTAGAAACAACCAGAC